CAGTCGCGACTCCAGAAATTGCAATTTTGACAGTCCGTCAAAAATGCTGGCGCCACCCCGATCGGTGAACAAAACAGCGCCTACCCGACGTAAAACGCTTTCCAAGAATGCCTTAGGAAAAACGAACCCCTAGCAGGCAACGACGCCAGGCCGATCTGGCACGAGCGTTGCAATTACTAGGAGCCGTGCCGAGCCACGCCCCCCGCAAGGAGGTGGGGCAAACGCCCGGCGCCACGCGTCCAACGCCCCAAGGAACATTACGAGTACGCTCGTTAGGGGCCGCGGGATCACCATAAGAGACGCCGGGGAAGCAAGGACTCGTTCCCTCTAGCCGTCGAACTCTGAGAAGAGGAGTTCGTAGGATGACCAAGCAAGCCACGGAAGATCGGACCATCAACCTCGCCGCCCTTCGGGAGACGGCCCTGGAGCAGCTCACCGACGAGCAACTCCTGGCCCTCCACCAAGAGGGTGACGAAGACCGTCCCTACCTCGCCACGCTGATCCAGCGTTACGAGCGGGAGCTCTATAGCTTCCTCCGCCGTTATCTAGGCGACGCCGCCCTGGCCGAAGACGCCTTCCAGGCCACGTTCCTCCAGGTCCACCGCAAGGGGCACCTGTTCGACTCGGGCCGGAAGTTCCGTCCCTGGCTGTACACGGTCGCTACGAACCGGGCGATCGACCTGCAACGCCGGAACAAGCGTCACCAAGCGGTCAGCCTGAACCGCTCGGCCCGCGCCGAAAACTCCGACAGCGGCTCGCTGATCGACCTGTTGCCCTCGGGCGAAACGGGTCCCGGCGAACGCTTCGAGTCGGCCGAGCGTACAGAGTGGGTGAGGCGAGCCGTCGCCAGCCTGCCGGAGCCTCTCCAGCAGGTGGTGTCGCTCGTCTACTTCCGCGGCATGAAGTACCGCGAGGCGGCCGACGAACTCCAGGTGCCGGTTGGCACCGTGAAGAGTCGGTTGCACTCGGCGGTCGGCAGCCTCGGCCAGCAGTGGCGTGAAGCCCACCCGGCGACCTGAGACACCGTCCCTCTCCCACCCACCGGAGCGGGCCGCTCGGCGACGGGCGGCTCGCTTCGCGTTTTTGGGGGCCGTCCGGTCCCGAGGCTGCTGGCCCGTGGCGCCGCGGGTGAAGTAAGCTTGGGGATCGGTTCACGGACCGGCGGGGCGATTCAGCCCACCGGCATTCCTGCGTCGCGGGCGGCGGTTTTCGATGTGCGACGAAGACGAACAACTAGTCCGCTACTACTTCGGCGAACTTTCGGACGCCGAGAAGTCCGCGTTTGAGCAGCGTCTTGTTGATGAGCCGGACCTTGCCGAGCGGCTCGAGACTTTCAGCCGCTGTGTCGACGCCCATCAGGGCGCCGAGTGCTGCGAAGAATCGGAGCCGGAAAAAGTCCCCGTCCCTCGACGCCTCGCTGACCGCACGGCCCACGCCATCCTGGCCGGCCACTTAGAGCGCGCCGGCGAGTGCGTCGGCCGCAAGCGGTACAACCTCGTCGAGGTCGTCGCGATTGGCGTCGCGGCGACGTTCCTGGGCGGACTGATCCTGCCGGCGATCGAAGCGAGCCGCGAGTCGTCTCGTCGCGACCAATGCGCGTTCAACCTTGCGACTCTGGGTCAAGGCCTGCAGAGCTATTCGCAAGACCACGGCCACATCCCGCAGATCGGTCTTACCCAAAACGCCGGCCTCTTTACGTTGATGCTCGCCGAGGGGCGGTACTTCGACCGAGAAGAACTTCAAAGGTCGCTCGTCTGCCCCTCTTCGAATCTCAGTCAGATGATCGCTGACGGTGAGTTGAAGGTTATCATCCCGACGCGCGAACATCTTGAAGCGGCCAACGCCGAGCAACTCCTCGAACTGCAACGGCTCATGGCGGGGAGTTACGCCTACCGCATCGGTTACTTCCAGGGACGCAGCTTCATTCCCTTCGGCGGCAAAGGCGGCTGCCGTTCGGCGATCCTAGCGGACACGCCTACCCTGGCGAGTGGGACCGAGGTTGTCAGCCGCCATCACGGCAAGTGCGGCCAGAACGTCCTCTTCGGCGACGGGCACGTCGCTTTTGTCTCGAGTTGTTGGGCGCCCGACGACGTCGACCACCTCTACCTCAACGACGACAACCAGCTCGCCGCCGGCCACGACGAATACGACATCGTGCTGCTCCCCGGCGACGTAACGCCCCTGGGCGTGCAGCTCTTCGAGCTCGGCGAGTAAGTCGCGCCGACGCAATGTCGCCGCCGCCGTCAAGGTTATGAGAGCCCTAGAGTGTGCTTCACTTGGTCGTAGCGCTTCTAGCCTCGCTCTGGATCCACGGAGCAACTTGGGAAGTCTCGCGCAGAGACGCAGAGGCGCAGAGTTGGATACCTTCAAGACTCACGCAATGGCGTTAAGCCGCAATGAACGCGTTGCTGCGTGATCGTTTGCGGCTGCGTCATTCTCAAGGACTTTGTCTTTGCGCCTTGGCGGCTNNGTCTCCGCGTCTCTGCGCGAGACGCTGCGGCAAAGTGAACGACGCTGTAAGCGATGCGTTTCGCAGCGTCGCCTAAAGTCCCGGCGTGTTGTCATTTCGCAACACGGGCCGCCGCCACGTTTCCCGTGGCGCCGACGCACAAACCCTAGAAACACCGGGCATTTCACGCCGCGTTGCGTTCAGGCCATGCATGAGGCCCGGCGTTTGCCATTGGGTGGGGACCGACTGATCCGTCCCTTGCTCGCACCCCTTTGGCGATGCACGCTCGTCAACTTGTCGAAATCGCCGGCCTGCTCAGCCTCCGCAGCGGTCCGCTGTTGCGGTCGGGGGCGCCGCTCTGCTCGGACACGCTCTCGGAGTACTGGATCGCTTCGCGCTGCCGCCTCGATTGCTGGGGCCGCACGCTCCGCGCCCTCGGCCACAGCCGCACGGCGCCCCCCGCCGACGAAGCGGGCGACCTGCTGGTGCGGCTCGTCGAAGAGGTCACGCTCTCCGAAACACTCACCCGCATCGTCGCCGCGATCTGCGCCGCCGACGATCAGCACCGCCGCGGCGAGGAGGCCGGGCCGATCGGGCAAAACACGCTCGACGGGCAACGCGAAGCGGCCAGCCGCTTGCGGGCGCTGGTGTTCGCTTGGTGGCCCGCCGACTCGCCGCGCTCCCGGCACGCCCGCTCGCTCAGCAAACAAGCCGAGCGCTGGACCGACGTGCTACTGGCGTACGTCGCCGCGTCGGCCGACGTCGAGCGTTTCGCCCAC